GGCCCAAGAGGGCCCCAAGACGGCTCCAAGAAGGGGCCCAGATGGGGGATCCGAGCGGACTTTTCGTGCCTTCGGCCCCAAGAGGCCCCTAGGAGGCCCTCAGAGGCCCCCAAGAGGCCCCCAACAAGCCGCCAAGATGCCCCCAGAGGCTCCACTAGGCGTCAAAACAGGCCCCGACAGGGGCCCCAAGAGGCCTCGGAAATGCTTCCAGGAGGCCCCCCCGAGAGACCTGCCACGAGATTCGAGCAAACTGTCCAGATGCTTCCATGAGGAGCCCCAGACGCCTCCAGGACGGCTTCAACAGCGTTCCAGAGCCTCCCGAGACGGCTCCAAAACGAACCAGTGTGGTCTGAAGACGGCCTACCTATTCGGGGGTGGACAGAACCCCCACCCTGACACGTCGATTAGTCAATTGTCCGTTTTCGGTTCTCGAGTGGGCGCCGCGGCCGTCAGTTTCCAGGCTTGCGCCCGCCAGGGTTTGGGCCGAGGTCGTTTTCACGAAACCACGTTTTACTAAAGGGGGTTCTGTCCATCCCCGAAAGAGGCCGCCAACATGGTCCAAGTTGGCCCGAAGATGGGCCCACGGGCCCCCAAAACGTTCCACTTGCCACCTCCCAGAGGTCCAGCAGAGGCCCCAGGAGGCTTCCAACACGCCCCGGGAGTTTAAAACGACGAACGAACAACACGCACCCATACCCATAGGGAGGACGGAGGAAGCTATGGGTGCGTGTTGTCGGATGGGTGTCCCCGCTCGAACGGGAGCCCCCCCCCCGCGGTCCGACAACCCGCACCCATACCCGTAGCAAGTCCTCCCCCCGCTGACCCCCCTATGGGTATGTATGTATGTGTTGTCCGTTCGTCATAACATGTGTCACAAACCGGCCGGTGGAAAACCGTAAATGATTGAAGAACTCGCTTGTTCATCGCCGATAGTCTTCGGAGGCCTGTGGATGGCCCCCAAACATCGGGAACGTCCCCACGAAGAGCCCCAGATGCGCCCCGACAGCGGCCCGAGAATGGGAACGTAAAAGAATGCCGTCTGGGGACCTCTGGGGGACCAATCTGGGGCCTCTTGGGACTTTTTGGAGCTCCTGGGGGCCTCTTCGGGCGGAAGGCTCGCATTGTCGGTTCGTGTTCCCCCTCTTGAGCCCTTCTCTGGGCCGTCTTGGGGCCCTCTTGGACTCTTGGATTGTCTTGGGCGCCCCTTGGGCCGTTTGGGGGTCCTCTTGGGCCGTCTTGGGGCCCTCTTCGGGGCCTCTTGGACCGTCTGGGGGCGGTTTGCGGGGCCTCTTGGGCCGTCTGGGGCCGTCTTGGAGCGTCGGAAGTTCGAGAAGACGACAACGTAAAGCACATTGAAAACGTTGCTGATCAAGGATACGTGCTTCTTTGGGCCCTCTTGTGGGACCTCTTGGAGCGCTCTTGGGGCTTCATTGCGGCCTCTTGCTTCGTCTTGGAAGCATATTGGGCCATCTTGGCGTCCTTGGTGGCCTCCCAGGTCCGTTTTGGAAACCATCTTGGGGATTTTGGGCGCCGTGGAAAGCGCCGAGGATGTGTCTGGGCCCCGACAGGATCTCGGGAAGGAGGGGCAGATTGCGCAACTGGGTGCGAGTACAGGGCGGGGGTGGCGGCCCCTTAAAAGATTACAGAATGCCTTCCCGGTTGCACTGGGCATTCTTCCACGCTTTAACGTGCCAGGAGGCACGGTGGAAGATCTGTGGCGCAAGCTGTTTGGGCTCGCGTTGACGGTTGTTTTGATTCGAGCATTTCTGAGGGTGTGCAAGCCTTTTTTGAATGCCACGCCTAAGTCCGAGCACTTCCCCGCTTCATACCACCACGGCGTACTTGTCCCTTCTTAAGCAGCGCCCCGAGATTTGCCAGCGTGACTTTCGAGACACGTCAGGAGCAAATTGACTAGTGGCACCAGGCGTATGCCGTGTTCCTACACGCTGCTACTGTGGATTGCGTCACGAAAATAATGGTGGGCGAGGCCCTAGCATGCGTTGGCTCGGATGCTATACATAAGAGGACGTACCAATATGGCGCGGTGGAGGACAGCAGTCTCACGGGATGGACCACTTTAGCGGCAGAGTGTTGCGAGCAATCTCCAGCGGAGGCGCTTCCCTTCCCTTCTGCGCTTAGAAGTACAACGCCTTCGAGATGGCACTCGTATGCCAGGCGGGAAGGCTCGATGCGTACCCTCAGTACACGGAGGATGTGACCTCATATGAGATTTGAGCGTCGTTTGCTGCGGACGATGATTTGCTGCGGCCGACTATTTGCTGCGGCGTGGCCACTCTGTGCAGGGCAAGAATCCAGATCTCGTCGCGAAGATAATGACGGACGAGGCGCCGGCATGCCTCGGCTGGGATTATGCGATTGCTCTTTCAAAGGACGTGCGCATATGGCGCGGTGGAGGGGGGGTAATCCCGCAGGATGGGCCAAGTCAAATGTACAGCGTAGCGGGCAATTTCCAGCGGGGGTGCCGCCCTCCTGCGCACAGAAGTACAGCAGATTCGGGATGGCACTCGCTTGCCAGGCGGGGAACCTCGAGGCTTACCCTTACTGCGCGGTGGAATGGGCCTCATGCGAGACCGACGCGTTTGCTGCGGACGACTATTGGCACCTGCAGCACGGCTATTACTTGATGGATGTTCTTCCAGATTGCGCTGTGAAGGCAACGGCGGGCGAGGCGCCGGCGTGTCTCGGGTGAGATTATATGACGCCCAGCGCCAGGGATAGGACGCGCGAGACGGTGGCGGGCGGCAGCTCTACATCACGGGCGCCTTCCCACGCGCAGTGCCGCGAGCAGTGTCCAGCTGGTGCGCCGCCGTTTTGCGGGCAGAAGTGCAGCAGTTTCGCGAGTTCGTTTGATTGCGCCATTGGGAATCTCGACGCGTGCCGCAACTACATGTGAAGAGGTGAACTCGCACGCGGGTGCTCCGTGGATAACGACTGGCACCGGCAGCGCGGAGTATCGCTGCAGAGTGATTACCCAAGTTGCCCGAGGAGGGTGTCGGCGGGCGAGGCGCCGGTTTGCGTGCGGCGGCGGTCGTCATTGTGCGCGCTGGTATACTTCGCATTTGGATTGTATGCTGGCGAGCAAGAGGACCTGAAAGTTCCACTCGCTCGCGGAGGCTTACCGCGCAGGGCGGGCAGCGCTTCGCCTGAATTGTAGCGAGGAGCTCGCGGCAACAACTCTGTCGCATTGCGCGGGAAGGCGCGCCAATGACAGGTTCGCCGGCGACGACGACTGCGACGACTGCGACGACGACGGCGGCGGCGGCGGCGACCGCGACGACGACGACGAGTGTCGCAGTCGTTGTCGTCGTCATATTGCGCGGAAAGGTGGGCCAACGCCGAGCTCGTCTGCCTTGCGATTTTGCTTCTCTTTCTGTGCGCTCGGCCTTCTGTCCTCGAATGCGCTCGGAGTGGTGGCGAACCGAAGTCTGGGTCTCAGGCAGGGCCGATTTGGCGTCGGCGCAACATAATGGCGCGCGTCTTGAAACGAGCGCATTACCAATGAACTGTCGGACGCCCCCGCGGCCCCCCGCGGTCGGCGCCGGGCCCCCCGGCAGGCTTCGGGCGCCGGGGGCCCGGGGGGCCAGGTGTCGATCCAGGAAATCCGCGCGGACATCCCAAAGTTTCTGTTTACGCAGTTTTTCAAAATGGTGGGTTCGCCGTCAGTGGCCCAGCGCGAAACCCGCGCGGCAATTCTGGTCGCGGCCCGAGCGCCAACGCGCGCGCTTCGGGGGCGCCCGCGGCGACGGCGACGGCGACCGCCATCTCGATGACGACGGGCGCCGCGACGTCGGCAACCGCGGCGGCAATCACCGACCCGCTGACCGACGCCAGCGGGGCCATTGCAATGACGTCACCAGCGGCGGTGACTACTCCAACTACGCCCTCAACGAAGTCGTTGTCTTCGAGAGCATCGCCGACGACGGTGGCGACGACGAGCGCGTGCTAGTAATTCATTGGCAGACTTCAACAGAGGCAGCGGGTACGGCGAAGACATCGCCGACGATGGCGATCTCCTCGGCCTCGATGACATCGCCCGCGACGCCGACGACAACGCGCGCGCGCCAGCGTGGCGCTGACTGACGCAATGATCCAGCTGCCCGCGGCAAGCCCCGCCGCCGCGCCAGCCCGGCATGCCCGGCTGCTTCTGTTCGAGGGGGCGCCTGGGGCTGTGCTGGCGAGGGTTGAGCAACATGATGGCGATGACGGTGGCGGCGGCGGCGGTGGCGGCGGCGGCGATGGCAATGGCCGCCGCGATGATGATGGCGGTCATGCTGACAATGATGATGATGATGACGATGATCGTTGAGGGAGCTGTCTCGGGGGCGTGTCGGAGGAAGCATTGGGGCCTCGTGGGGGGGCGCCCAGGGGCCTCATTGGGGCGTCTCGGGGGCCCGGGGGCTTCTCGGGGGCCCCGTGGAGCTTCCTGGGGGACCCGGCCGCTCTGGGGCTCTCTCTCCCCGGGTGCCCTGGGCGCCCCTCGGGCCGTTTCGGTGCCCTCTTGGGTCTTGGTGGGGCCCTCTCTGGGGCGTCTCGGGGCAGTCTCGGGCGCCTTTGAGGCCGTCCTGGAGCGTCGGGGGCTCGAGCGGGCGATGGCGGCAAAAGCGCGGGACGTCAAAATGGCGATCGATGATCGTCGCATATTTGGGCCCCCTTGAGGGCCCTCTTTGAGCTCGGGGCTTCGCTGGGGCTTCTTGGGCCGTCTTGGGGCGTTCGGCAGCCGTGCTGTCGGCTTTGGTGGCCTCCCAGGTCCGTCTTGGAAGCCGCCGTGGACATCTCGGGCGCCGCGGGGAGCGCCGGGGGCGCGTCTGGCGTGGCGACGCGCGCGGGCGGGCGCCGCTCGGGGGGGCGGCCTTAGCCCATCGCAGAAGCCTTGCCCGAAATCTTTTCGCATTCCACCGCGCCTCAGCGCGCCGGGGGGCGCGGCGCCGACGACGGCGCGCGCCGGCGGCGCATTGACAGGCGCAGTCGCCACAGTTTCGGCGTCAACGGTGCCAGCGCCTGAGCCGACCGCGAGCCAGATTCATGGCCGCAGCGCAGCGTTGGCGACCGCGTCGCCAGTCGAAGTGGCAGCGGTTGTTTCAGTCGGACACGCGGCGGACCGAACTCTTCCTCCCGGCGCGACCTCGTCTGACTTCGCGCTCTTTCGACTGTCTGCGAGAACGCTGCAGAAACGGTTTTGGCAGCCGCTCTGCCCGCGCGCCCTTCTGGCTCTACAATTGCAGCATTCGCGGCGGGCCCTCGTCGACAAGCCGCCGCAGTCCGCCAGTTTGCGAGCGAAGTCTCTGTGGAGGCTTGTCTCGCGGTTCTGGCTGCGGGCGAAATTGCCGCCGCGACCTTGTCCGCGGCGTTTGCCAGCGCGGCGGTCGATGTTGAGGCCGAGGCTCACAGTGCGATGGCCGCCGCCGATTGAACTGGCGAGTCAGTCATTTCTGTCGCTCCTACGATGTCGAAACCCGTCGCGACGACCCTGGCGGCCCTTGCGTCCGTCGCCCATTCGGAGCCGCGCCCGACTCCGCTGGCGGGTCTTGCGGCGCTCGGGCGAAGCGCAGTTGTGTTGGGCCACCGATCTAAGTATCGGCGTCCTCGAAGCGTGTCAGCAATGAGTCGGGGCACGCGGGCTCGGCGCCATGCCTCGTCCACGCCGTCGGCCGACTGGTGCGCCTGGATGTCTTGGAGGCCCATTATTCCGTTAATGCTTGGCAGCGTGGCCTTGACTGGCTCGTCGCAAGATGGGCCGCGCCGCCTGGGGCCCTGCCGGCGTGCCGGAGGCCCTCCGATTGGGTTGGGCGCGTGCCCGTCCGTTTGATGCGGCGCAGGCTTCGCCGTGGGCGCGCGCGGAGCTCGCGTGTTGTTCTTCTGCGGCTACTGCAAATTACTGCTGCTGCAGCTACTACCGCGACTACTACAACTGCGATTCGTACTTCGACTACGGCTACAACACCAAGTAATGCTGTTAATATTTGTTATGACTATCCGTGTTGCTATGATTGTCCATTCTGTAATGCATTCAGTTCTGGTTTCATTTTTCTTATTCGCACTTGCACGATTATGATTTCTGTGACTTGTGTTACTACTATTCAACTGACTGTTCAAATTGTTGTATCATTACTGCTGCCACTGCTAAAATGGACAATAACTACTACTACTACTACGGTCATCGCTATTCTTACGGCAGAGAAAGGGTGGAGAGCAGGGGAAGTTAGCGATGGCTGTAATTATTTATCTACCACTACAGCAGCAATTGTTACGGTTGCGAGCGCGACGACTACCACTACTATCGCGATCATTATTATGTTTACCCTCATTACCTTTATTACTATTATTATTTCTGCTACCACCGCTCGAATTTTATAATTACAGTCGGCCCCGATTAATTGGTCGACCCTTTCAGATCAAGGTTGCACTTGTCCTGTTTCTCGCGGCCCATGCCTTGCTAACTATGGTGGCAAAGTGGAATTCGTAAGGGTATTGTGCCTTCTCGCGTGTCCTGTCCAATCAAGTCCGACTGTGCTACTGCGACTACGACTGCGACTACTTCCACTATTGGATCTAGTTCCACTACTACTACATAGTACGACTACTACTACTGTTGCGACTACTACTACGATTACTCGTACTACCACGACTTCGATTACGGTTACGACTACGACTTTGATTACTACTACGATTACTACGACTACTACGGTTACGATTGTTGCTATCATTTCTGATTATATTATTGCTACTTCTACGATTAGTACGACTACGATTACAATTACCACTACGACTACTATCTTTATTTTTACTACATCGATTATCATTTTTTCTTTTCTCGATCGTACTGCTACGACTCCACTGCGACGGTGGCTACTACTTTTACGACGACGGCTACTAGGGCCACACCTCACTTGCGTATCTCCCCAGAATGAATGCGCGCGGGTTTTAGTTCGGGTTCGGGTTTGGTGTTGCGAGTGTTCGAGTAGAATAGGAATGCATTCGTATCCGGACACAAGTGGGAATGCACTTGAAGTCGAATACCGTAGGAATACGAACGAAACCAAATACAATGTAGGAGCGCTCTATAGTTCGAAAGCGGTAAGAACACAATGCTTTCCGAATGCAATAGGCATGCCTGAACATTCGACGACGCGAGGGATACAGTATAATCCGCACACAATAATTAGGAAGACACGCGAATTTGCTTGCAAGTCGGATCCCAATAGAATTGGCTTACAATGGGAATACATTAGAATTCGGATGCACGAAGGATACATCATAATCCCAGCGCAGCGGGACCGATCGCCAGATACACTTGGAATGCAAGAGAATTCGAAGCCAATCGGTATACGATAGATTTCGAATTCAGTTGGAACGCAGTAGAATCCGAAAGCAGTAGGAATACACAAGAATTCTAATACACGATGAATATTTTAACTCGAACGCAATAGGAATTCTATAGAATGCGATCACAATCTGGTTCGAATACAAATGGAATGCAACGGAGTTCGAGTGCGGTAGGAAGCAATTTTCCTGGCGAAGGACCCAACCATGTGCAGTTGTGGGCACCGCAATGGTGAGTATCTTCTTCGGTAAAGCTCCCCGTGGGGCCACGAGGCGCCGCGCTGGGTGGGGGCAGGGGGGGGGGGGGGGGGGGCGCATGCGGGCGATAGCGCCGGGGCCGTCGGTGGA